TGTACCAACATGTCTCTCTTATTAAATTGGAACTTTGATGAAAGCTATGCCTTAAACTCTGATTTAATTCTGGATGATATTTGGAACGCTGACAGTCAACTTGCTATATGCTGGTTCTTTCCTTGTGTCCCAAATCACTGAATTCTCATATACAAATCACTCAGTCCAATGGAAAGAAAAGCATGTATTATAATCAATCTTTTTGCTACTAATTTGTGCATACTAATAGCATAGAAAGAGAACCTGACAGTTTGGGAAACAATTGGCACATTGATATTTTACTTCTTGGAGAGAAAACCCCAGGAGACTTCTACTTCTCTTACCTCCACAAAGTGCTGTCTATCTATCTGTCAATGGAGATTCTCAATCATCCAGATCATGGTTGTCCGTCCCCCCCCCCCACCCGCCCCACCATCAAGAGGCAACTGGACTTGCTGGTTTTTCTTTGAACACGTTTTGCTTCCCATTCAAGAAGCCTCTTCAGCTTCCCCACCATCCAGTCAGAGCTGAAGAAGCTCTTACGAAATCATACAGTAGCCATTAAAGTAACCTGAGAGGATGCAATTGTAGGACGAATCTGATCTGAAGTGATCTCTATTTTTAAAAGTACGTTTTAATCCTTTTTATCCCAAGGTGAATCAATTAGAATTTTGTCCACTAGATGGCAAACAAAGACAGCAAACGTCTTAATGGCTTCTAGCTGACTTTCTTTAGTTTTTAGATTCCTATTTCTGAAGTCCTCCTTTTATCTGACAATAATCTTGCAGATGGTGGCAGGTTGGTGCGGTAATTTAACATTTGTAATAAAAGAAATTTGGCTTGTACAGTCTATTCCTCCTGCTCTTTACTATTTATTTGTTTATTAAATAAATTTATATAACTGCCCAGCTCACACACTGAGAGTCCCAAATTGCACACTAAATCTCTAAATTATAGTACAGTAGTTAACCCTGAAATACTTTTTTGTTTTGTTTTTGTAACCGTCACAGTTTTTGCCTAGCTTCCCTACTGTTGAGTACTTTTGGTAAAAATCCTTTCCCTTTAAGAGAACAACAGAATAACAGAGTTGGAAGGGATCTTGGAGGTCTTTTAGTCTAACCGCCTGCCCTCTATCGTGTCCGATAAATGGCTAATTTCTTCTTAAAAACCTCCAGCATTGGAGCATCCACAACTTCTTAAGACAAGCCATTTCACTGATCAATTGTTATATCTTTGTTACTCTTCTCTAAACTTTCTAGAATCTCAGTATCGTTTTTTATATCATGTTGACCAAAACTGAATACAATATTCCAAGCATGGTCTTACCAAGACATTATAAAGCAGTAAGATTACACTTCATGTGATCTTGATTCTATCCCTCTGTTCAGGGGTGGGGATCCAACCCTCTTAACAACTGGTTCACTTCAGGGGTGAAATCCAACAGGTTCTGACAGGTTCTGGAGAACTGGTAGCGGAAATTTTGAGTACTTCGGAGAACCGGCAAATACCACCTCTGGCTGGCCCCAGAATGGGGTGGGAATGGAGATTTTGCAGTATCCTTCCCCTGCCACACCCACCAAGTCACACTATGCCCCCCAAGCCATGCCCACAGAACCGGCAGTAAAAAATTGAATTTCACCACTGGTTCACTTCACACGCACATGCGCCTGAGGTGTGCTGCGCGTGCGTGCACACTTCACAGGAAAACAGCTGAGGCGCAGCAATCCACTTTGCTGTGCCTATCAGCTGGGCTAAAAAACAAGGAAATATA